GTCGCAGTCGAAGCTTGTGAGAGACTCGTTCGTACGGTCACCAACTACTGCACAAGAAGGCTTTTCAAAGCTTATTAAAGGGGCTGAGGAGATGCTACATGAGAATGTGCTTATGAAGGCCCGCGTACGAGAGCTTGAAGAGCAACTAGCAGAGGTAACAAAGCGCCGAGGGCGTAAAAGAAAGCGGATTCAGACAGGCGGGACACTAGAATTTGGTGCAGGAGCATCGCAGGCAGCTGAAAGTGCTTCTACTAGTCGTATAATATCAAAGAAAGCGCGTGGTGGGGGTAGTCAAGAAAAGGCCCAGCCAGGTCAACGGCACTGTGGAATCTGTGGGAGAGTGGGCCATAACGCCCGTACGTGCCAAAAAGATGTAGAAGAAGATTCTATGTTAGATGCAAGTGAGTCGTACGAAGCATCTATAGCTAGTGTAGAGTAATTCAAGTTTTCATATGTGATGTTCGCGATGCCAAGAAAAAGTGGCACACTCGGTGGGGTGGCACTCTCGGTGGTGGAATACGTTATATATAAAGTAGCCTTAAAATTTAAATTTAGAGTAGCTTTTCTACTACTTTTAAACAACACTTTTAGTAAAGACTTTATTCAGGCGTTATTATATATAATAGCTACTATAATAGTACTTAAAAATAATAAAAGTCTTATTTAACTAAATAATATTGTTTAAATCTTTAAGTGTCTAATTTTTATAAGTGAAATACTACTTAAGTTTTTTTTATTCTATTTTTCTAATATCAACTTAAACTTCCTTATTAGCTTTATTTTATTATAACTAGCTACTTAATAGACTTTTTATACAGTAAATAATAAAATATTATAGCTATAAATACTAACATTACTTGTAATATTAGCGTAGCTCTTTCTTTTATACTTATTATAGTATATATTTTTAAGTGTAGCGTTATATATTTTATTTTATTTATAAAGGTAGCTTATAAAGTGGTTCACAAGTAAGTCGCTAACCCAAGCAAGTCGCTAACGCCCTATCACTATATCTACATTAACACGTTATTATAGTTTTTTATTATAGTTAATAAACTATTACAATATACTAAATTAATTATTAAAATTACTACTATTACTTACACTATCTATCTTAACTACGCAGGTACGAGTGTTATGTCTAGTCTACTTGCAACGCCCGCACCGCCGCTCTCCTTACACCCTCTTTAACGCACTCTTACTATTACTATAACTACTACTTGCCTATTTAGCTAATACTTTTTATACTTTACCTATAGTAAAAGTCTCTTCTATCTATATATATTGCTATTTATAGCTTTTACGCTAATTTAACTCATTAAAAGCTACTTAAAGCGTACTTATTTCCTCTATCATAAGCGTGATTTTATATACTATTTGCTAGGCCCCCTTGCTTAGCTACGCGATCTACTTAGTAAGTAAATTAGTAGAAGACTTATAGCGTTTTCTTACGCTCTCTTAAATAAGACTAATTTAAGACTTAACTTCGCGCGCGTTGTGTAGTGTCTGCGCCTACTAAGTAGCTACCTATTATAGTAATTGTATAGGTGTTTGCACTACTACATTAAGCTTAGATAGCATAGCCTATAGGTTGTGTAGGACTAGACTAGCGCCTCTAAAGCTAGCTTAAATATTCTCTTTTATAATAGACTGCTTAAAAGCAGTCTTAAAGGCTAGTAGGAAGGTCTCTTTACTAATATAGTGGTTACTATAATCTAAGGCGTAGGCGCGTTAGATCGCTAAATACTACTCTTTGTTGTCTTTGTAGGCAAGGTACTTATTAACGTCTAGTTTAAGGATTTGCCTACTGTAAGAGGCTACGCCTAAAGTGTGTGTGTGATCGAGTATATCTATACGACTACCTGGACTTCAAGAAGCTTGAAGTCTTGTTACTGCCTTTTTGGCTATGGATGGCGTAAGTAGTCGTACGCTCGGCCCGTTAGGCCCGCCCATTACACCTACTAACTGTAACGGCGCAGGTAAGGCAGGTCGGATCTGTTTCGGTCGTAGGATCACTCAGAGGCATATGGGAGTGCGTGGGATCACAAAGAGCCTAGATTCAACAAGCCACCTATAGGCCTTGTACGAAAGGATATCAAAAGTCTACAGAGCTAGCTACAGGGAGTGTCTCAATATATACCTATCCTAGTCGGGTCCGAATTCGGATCCGACCTCGGGCGAATGGCTGATGAAGGGCGGCAGGTACTTCCTCCGATCCGGCTCTGGGATTGGCTCAATACTTGGCGAAGTTGTAACATCGTTACACTAACTAAGTTCTTAAAGTTAGTCTTAATAGCTAGATAAATAATTAGCTTAGTCTTGCCTAGTTAGAGCACTTTAATACCTATACAAAGAGCTCTACTATAGGTAAGTATTAACTACTTATTATTAATAGCTATAAAAGCTACTACTTTATTAATTTCTAAGATCTTTATAAGGAGAGGAATATTATACTTCATTATATGCTTACGCACTTATCTTACCTATTATAGCTCTTTAACGTCGCCTACTTCTCGCTATTAAAGCGTAAGTATAGCAACGCTATTTTAGGCTTAGCACGTAACTGCACCTTACTTATAGTTGCCTAGCTATATCTACTTTTTTTTCTTATATCTTTCTAATACTATAATAACTAACTATAATAAAATCTTGCCTATTATAAAGCTAGTCTTATTAAAGTTATAAATGTTATTATCTATAATACCCTACTTCTACCTTATCGCCTAAACTAAGTTAAACTAGCGCTAGATAGCTACTAGATCCTTATAGGCGGCTTACTAGTAATTATAGGAATAGCTCTAGCGCATATAGAGCTTAGAAGTCTGCTTAACAAAGTTATTAACCTAGTTCTTGCTAATAGGGTTGCTACTACGCTTCTTTAATAGTTAATTAGCTATTACTTAAATATTAAGCTTTATAGGCGTAAATCCTTACGTAGACTCTTTAAGAATACGCTTAACTATAGCCTCCTCTTCTAGCTTATTTAGACGCTTTAATTTTAGCTTATAGTCGCGTTAAGAGCGCTTTTTAGCGCGTTAATTAGATAGAGTTCTTTATAGGACGTTGTAGATAGTAGTAGCATAGTTTACACTTTAAACACGTTGTAACTAGACGTTAAAAAGAGTAAGTTAAAGATTAGATTTAGAATATATTAATCGATAGTTGCGTTGTTAAGACATTACGTGTTATAGTAATAAATTTAATAGGCTAGTAGGGCGTTAGCGACTTGCTTAGGTTAGTGACTTACTTGTGAACCACGTTATATAAAGTATTTTTAAGGTACTATAGAAGAATCTTAATTAGACGTACGTTAGGCTTAAAGCCTTGCTAGTAGGCTCTATTATAAATTAAGTTAATTATACGTAGTAATATAGTTATTATTTCTATAATTTTATATATAAATTTACTACTAAAAGATAACTTTAATATAATAATAAAAGACTAAGTTAATATATTTATATTTAGAGCTATAGTAGATTAAAAACACTTAAGAAATAAGTATATAAGCTATCGCTAGCTTTAAAAAATTAGTATAGGCGCTAAGAAGAGTTAGGCTAATAGGCTAGCGGCTTAGCGTGGCGCTAGCAAGAACTTTTGACAGTCACCTCCGTATCTGACTTCAATCTCACCTTCATCTTATCAAGGTGCGGCCATGCTCGGATCAACATCATGCAGCACAGTCTGCCCGAACAACCATGTTATTGACCGCGATAGGGTGCCTGCGACGGGAAATCTTCGGTGATTGATTTCGGCGGCCTCTGTGGTCTCGTGCCTATGTACTGCGTTGTTTGTTTGTTTGCTCAAGGCCTCTGAATCAACAGAAAGGAAAACAGTGTTGATGCAGTTGGCTCCAATATGCAGCATGCAGCTGGACGGAACCCAAGTTTCAGAATGAGCTTTTTTAGTTGCCGTGCTCCCGATGTCAGTCGGTTCAGTGTGGGGCTTACATGTAGTCGAACATGTTTCTTTTGAGCCCAGCCATTTGGCACCCCTGAGCGCAAGCCGGTCGAGATCCTTGGGTAAACACCGCTAACCACAAGATTTCGTGTCGAGACATCTGGAGCAAATGCGTCACCTGCACTGAGCAAGTCGCGGTGTCAGCATCTACCTACTTGGGCCGTTTACCGACTACGTCCCCACTTAACGGAGACATGAAACACTCCTCTTATTTAAGAGAAGCAGGTGACGGAGATTAGCAGCGTCAGCAACGTAGACTGCTTTTGGACAGGTTAGAGAGGTGATGGGCATTCCAGTAGCGTGTTAGAAGTAAAAGCTTTAGTTATATAAGACTGCGGCTAAGGATACGGATTCTAGTATACCCACGACACTCGTTTGACTTTTTCACATTATAATATCTTCTCTATACATATGTACACCATGGTTGTCCTAACTGCTGGCATCTTCTTGGCGTCGCTGGCGGCGTCTGCTTCTGCGGCACCGGCCGTGAAGCGCGCTCAAACCTGTACCTTTTCTGGTGCCACTGGAGCCGCCGCCGCCGCCTCTGCCGCTCAATCAAAGTGCTCGACTATTACCCTGTCGAACCTTGCTGTGCCTGCGGGCCAAACTCTCGACCTCTCCAAGCTTGCTGATGGCACCACTGTCATCTTCGATGGCACTACCACCTTTGGCTACAAGGAATGGGTGGGCCCTCTGGTCAGCATTGGCGGAAGCAAAATTACCGTCAAGGGTAACCCGGGCTCCGTTCTCGACGGTGATGGTGCTCGCTGGTGGGATGGCAAGGGAGGCAACGGTGGAAAGGTCAAGCCCAAGTTCTTCGCCGCCCACGGCATGACCAGCTCCACCATCTCCGGCATCACCATCAAGAACCCTCCTGTTCAGGTTGTCAGCATCAACGGTGCCAATGGTCTGAACATTGTCAACTTCACCATTGACGGCTCGGCTGGTGACAAGCTTGGCCACAACACGGATGGTTTCGACATTAGCGACAGCACAAACGTTGTGATTGATGGCGCAAAGGTCCACAACCAGGACGACTGCGTTGCTATCAACTCTGGAACTGTATGTGCACACCTTTCTATTACGCGAAGGAACTAGCTAACCTGTAACCAGCACATCTCCTTCACCAACGGTTACTGCTCTGGCGGCCACGGTCTCTCCATCGGCTCTGTCGGCGGCCGCAGCAACAACGTCGTCGACTCGGTCACCTTTGCCAACTCCGAGGTGGCCAACTCGGACAACGGCCTGCGCATCAAGGCCAAGGTTGGCAAGACGGGCAAGATCAGCAACATCACCTACAACACCATCAAGCTCACCAACATTGCCAAGTTTGGCGTTCTCGTCGAACAAAACTACAACAACGGTGATCTCCACGGCAAACCCAGCACCGGCATCCCTATCACTGGCCTCACTCTGAGCAACATCTCAGGTGATGGTGCCGTTAGCTCGGGAGGCAACGGTGTTGTCATCGCGTGCGGTAGCGGCAGTTCTTGCGCCGGCTGGAAATGGGACAATGTCAACATCTCGGGTGGTTCAAAGTCCAGCAAGTGCATCAACGTCCCTGGCGCTGCCGCGTGCTTGTAAAGTCCATTTGCACTGCTAGGTGAAGAGCATCTGAACTGTGTTTGAGCTCTTTGCGCTAGCATACCATATTTTTCTTCTTTTTCTTTTCCCTTTAGGCTTTTGCGCCGGTGTAATCAGAAACAGGGACTTCGTTGTACATTTCATCATTATGGTTGTTATTTTTTTTTTCAAGTAGAGAAGTTGTAGCAACACTGCCCGGCTCAAGGATCATATGAAAATTCAAAATCGTTTGCTTTCTTCCATTATTATTATAATTTGCTTGCTTCTCGTGCGTATCAGATGAGGTTGGGGTTTTCCTTCCCCTGAGCTACTTATTTCCTGATTCAGCCTCTTCGCTCGAGTGCTATCACGGAAAACTATCCATCGGCCAATGGGAGTTTCCTAGGGATACTGTTGCCCGATCTGTCCAGGTCACCCTGGTTGGCTGTTCCTTTCCGGCAAGGCATCCAACTACGTCATGCGCTCAACTCTTTTACAACCTCTTTTAGGTCCTGGTGCAATGCTTTCGAAGGATACTCGACAGTTCCCCAGCAAATCTTTATTTCCACCTTGCAAACGGACCCAAATTAGCCTGAAAAACTAGTAGTGCCCCCGTCAGATAAGGCTTCTGGTCACCCAAGCTCGAATACGACTAACCATCACGACGCCATGTTGTGTAGATGATGCAGTGGTATTCTAGTTGTTGTCGGTTATTTCAAGTAATCTCTAATTTTCCAGTGCTTTTCATGCAAGGAGTGAGTGCGGGCCATATGTGAAGGCGAAGGGGAATGCGGGAAGAGAGGCGAGTTTTGCAATGACGGGATGTGATGGTGTCGCGTATACGAAGTTTTATGCCGCAGGGCTATCGTGGCAAAAAAACCAAAGGGAAGTTTCTTAATAGTAAGAATGGAGAAATCCAGACCAGTGCAAAGTTATAGTAAATCAGCGGCATTTTTGTGTCCGCATTTCCTTGACTTGGTCTGAGCATGATGCTGAAGAGAGTTAAAGACATGCGAAACGCACCTTGGCGATATTCCCAAACCTCTCCTAGTCAAACACACCGAAAAAAGGCAAGCATTTGCATTCATAAAATAGATTGACATCCATATTCCATTAAAACAAACCACCGCACCTCACCGCTTGAGCTCCGGCGCCGTCCCACCCATCTCCCCCCTCACCCCGTCCGTCAAAAACTCCAGCTCCATACTGCGCTTCCCCTCGCGATCCTTACTCCCCAGCAACACCGGAAACAATGAAAACGCAAAGCCAGTGCCGACAGCGAAATACACGAGCACAGCCAGTCCCTGCATACCGGCCTTTTCCTTCTGCACGTCGAGCTGATCCTTCCACGCACTCCACATGTAGGCGGACATGCCAGCGACAAAGTTGGATACAGACAGGCTGATGAGTTCGTAAGGGGCTTCCATGAGTGTTAGCGACGCCAGCGAGCTCTGCCATGCGAGATGCGAGCGAACATTGCGGTACTGGATGCCGTTGGAGAGCCACACGCGCAGCGCAGACGCAGTGCGTATGTAGCCGAGTTCGCGCTGCTGGATGCAGGTGAAGAAGGTGGCGAGCAGCGAGAGCATGGTGCTTTGTGTGAAACATGCTCGCACGACAAAAGTAGTGTTGTTGAGGTCAGGCAGGGAGAAGGCTTGGAGAGCTAGTGTTGCTAGGAGCGCGCCCTGTAAGTACCTTAGTGAGTCCCCTCTCCATGTACTTTTTCCAACGCAGACAGAGCTGGGATGCTGCCAATAGTCAGGATCAGAAGACATACGACCAGGGCCACGAGTCTAAACTGTTCCAGCTTTGCCTCGCGCATTTCCATGACGTCCTTGTCCGAACCGTCGTTGATCAGATGCTCGAGCTTCTCCAGGTCCTCGGCATCGAACAGCAGCCACACGCGCCAGCGGTACGACGGCCCGTACCGCGCAAGTGCATATGCATTCTGGTTCCACGTTCGCAGGTGCGAGAAGCCGTTGAAGAGGTAGCGCGGCGCAACGAGCACGCGGGCGGCTGCTCGCGCGGGGAAGCCCAGGGCGCTGAAGAGCTCCGCTGTAGACATATGGTTTAGGGTCTGGGAACAGGCGTGGGGAGATGGGGGCTTTTTTTTCTGGGGAATATAACCTACTGTTGCTATCGGCCGAATTATTCATGGTCCCAGCACGTCGCAAGGGGGGGTTCCACTTTTGCATCCTGGACGTAGATAGCATCCATGTGGTATGGCGTTGGCCCCCAATTTACATGTGCTGCAGGCTGTCGGGCTGTGATTGGTCCGGTGAGGACATCAAGATGAACCTGGTACAAGTGGCCATCGAACACGCAGAAAACATCACCATGGAAACTGCACTGGCATCGAGTCGGTGGAGGCTAAACGTATGCTTGTATTGCAAAAAAGCAAATCCGGGTATAACAACAGCATGTGAAATGTGTTTGCTCATCCGCCATGAGCCCTGCATCTTCCAGAGAACACAGCACACCAGTCTCTACACAGCTGCTCCTGAAGCCTTTGCCTTCTCCTGTGCCTCGAGCTTTCTTCGCGCAGCCAGAATCATCTCCTCTCTCCGCCGTTGCAGATTTGCCTGCCTCTCGGTCTTGTCGGTGCTCCAGGCTTTCGACTTTGGTTGCTCTTCTTGCGCGGGCTGTGATGCCTCGGAAATCTTTGCGGACAGGTTGTATCTCGTAATCAGATCAGGATGTGAGGGTCGTGCTGGTGTAGCTGCTGGCCGGACGGGCGCAGGCGAGGCTCGCGGACCCGGTATTTGGAAAGATGGCGGCGCCTAGACCGGAGTCAGCGGACTGCATGCTTGCAGACACGTATTCTCAATGGATCCTCTTACCGCGTCCAAGCCCCTCCCGCTCAGTGCTCGTTCTGTCGTTGCCGCGACATTTCCGCCGTTTCGCTGCAGGTCCCACGCAATGTCTCTTCGACTGAACTGCGGCAGCATCTCGGCTACCTGGTCAATCTGCGCCAGGTTTAGACGGGGCGTGGTGCGGTTGGCGGCTGCCCGCGTGCCTGGCGCTGCGGCTGCGGGCTTGCTAAAGTACCATCGGACGGCCAGGAAGGTGACGACGATAAAGACGAGGACCTGGGGGACGTTGATGCTCTGCTCCGTCATGACTGCTCGCCGGCTCTGCGTGGGAAATGGCTGTGTCGATGCAGCGAGGTCAGAGGCGTGCCCGGGAGCGGCGTGAGAGGCGTGGGGAGTCTTGGAGGCGGCCGCAGGGGCGATGCGCAGTCGGTGTCGGGGCGGGGTATCGGGGCAATGTGCCAGGTGGCTGACTGCGGGCAGCGTCCAGCCAGGAGGATTGGCAGGCAGAAGTAATCGTGATGTGTCGCCTGCGATTGTTGGTTGACGTTGGTCGGGTTTCCGAGCACCGCCATTTGCCGAGGCTCCCCCGAAACCTAATCCCAAAACCGCCTTGACCCCTTCCCGACCTTCACTCCTCGACCCACCAGTCCGCCGTTTCTCCACACGCCAAACCTGGGCCCTCGTTCGCACACCAGCTGGGCACGCCGCCTAGCCGTCCGCTCCTTTGCTTGATGCCATTGCCGTCCAACAGCGGGATGCGTCGTTGTTCAAAGCCCCTTGACATATATCCCGCTTCGCGCCCGTTACGCGCCGACATTCATTAGAACATGACTTCCACCATGATTCCCAGGAAACCCCTGCCACAACCGACTCAGGCGCATTTGAAAAATGGTCCGGATGCCAGCGGGAGCGTCCCCCTAGAGCATAGACCGAATGTACATACGTACCACCAGGATGGCCTTTCGGACCAGCAGAAGAAAGAAACGGCAATTGGGGACGACTCGTCCTCCATTGAAGAAACTATACCCCATGACCATGGGCTCGAGGAGAGGCAGGATGCAGTCAGAGGACAAGTCTTTGCGGGCACGACCGGAGGCGGCCTTGGTTCAGCAATTTCTCGTCGCCTGGACAATTTCCTACCCCCGCAAAAAAGATACTTCAACGACCGGATCAGCCGCCGCACACTACTCATCATTATCGGCATCGCATTCCTCTGCCTCCTGGCGCTCATAATAGGTCTCGCAGCCGGTCTGTCGAGTGGTGGATCCAGGTATGCTGTCTGCTTCCTCTTGAAACCAAGCAATTGCTAATCACCTATGCCAGTGGCCCCGCCCTACCTTTACCTGGAGGGGCGCAAACCTACACTGGTGACCTAACATATTACAATCCCGGCCTTGGCGCTTGTGGAGGGACTTATGGCGACAATGATGCGGTCGTGGCAATTTCCCATTTCCTCTGTAAGACTCTTCTTTTCTAATATACAAGACACACCAACTGATACATCTCAAAGGGGACAAAAACCAAGTTGGCTCCAACCCCAATACCAATTCTTTCTGTGGGAAGAAGATTCGTGCCCAGCGTGTGGATGAGCGGACGGGCAAGCTCGCCAGTGTCGACTTGACTGTCATTGACCGATGTAAGTGCTTCGGATGACATGACCTGTCTCGTAATTAGCAATCTGTTGTTGCTGACCTTGTACTAGGCACTGGTTGTAAACCCACCGATCTCGACGTCAGCCCCGCCATGTTCAACAAGCTGGCCGCTCCAGCCTTGGGCAGGGTCAATGTAGAATGGGCTTGGTTGTAACCATGTCAATTCTTTTCTTGAGGGTTTTATGATTTTATTCTTTTACGCGAAGGATGATGGGTTATCACTTATGATTTTTAGTTGATCGCCAAGGAGAATGGGTATCCCTTCTGATTATATATCGACAAACTTGATATATAATTAGAAGGGATACCCATCCTCCTTCGCGATAAACTAGAAAATCATAAGTGATAACCCACCATTCTTCGCGCAAAAAGATAAATCATAACATCAATCCTTTTTGTATATACTTTTGACCGTGTCTCACGCGGTTTCCACTGCAATCGCCACGTTCAATCTCGCAAAACTTCATCCATCATGTATATACACCCAAAACTCTTGATACCCACCCGTTCAACCTCCAGACAATGTACCGAAATCATAAGCATGTCATCCCTTCCTTGACCAAGACGACCGACCCACCAAATCCACACTACGCACAGATATCCTACAAAACACAGCCCTCACACAGTCCAATGCTTCGCAATAACATCCCTCGGCAACACGCCGACATTAGTCTTCATCCTGAAAATCCGCAGCGGGCCCCCCTTGACATCGTACACCAGCACCGCCGCGCCACCCTTCGTTTTCTGCACCACGCGCTTGATTTGCGCCAGCAGGTTCACCATCCTGCGCAAGCGCTCCTGGTTCGCTTCTTCCCATTGCGCAAAGTCAGCCGCGGCATGCGTAATGTCAATGGTATGCACGGTGCCCATGTCGTGCTTTCCAACGATAAAGTAGGGCGTGCGGCCGAACCACAGCTGCGGCATGGCGGCGAGCAGGCGGGTGAGGCCTTTGCTAGCTTTGATTTCCGCGAGGCGCGTGGGCGCAATCAGACTTCCTTTTGCCAGTGCGACTGTCGGCTTGTCCGAGGCTGATGGTCTGGGCGGCCGGCCGCGACCGTGATGATGGCTTGCTGGGATAGGTGCTCCATCTGCGACTTTCAGGTGGGATATTGCCGATGTAAGGTCGTCGGTTGGGTCTACGGTTTGATTCTGGCGGTTCTCTGAGGCAGGAGTAGGAATAGCTTCATCTGTATCTGCGTCGTCGTAGTACGCGTCGACTTCAAAGCGAACAACGCAGTCCAGCGGCCCAATATGGTACCGGATCACACGGTGGTGGCTACTTGAGTCCGCTATTTCGCAATCGGGCGTTGTAAAGCTCGATTCAAAGTTGTGTCCGTACCCCGAGTCTAGTGTGCCGTGGGTCACGATTTCGAAGCGCCGCTCCTTCCGATTGATAACGAGCGTGTTGTTGATGGTGTGCAGGCCCATGCAGAAGGGATTGGGTTTCCGGCCGTCGCCAAAGAGGTCGAGCAGCTTGCGGAGACTGTTGCGGTTGACGATTATGTCGGCCTTGTCGAGATTGGTGTTTGGGTTCATCATGGAGAGCGCGCGGAAGGCAGGCTCGAATGGGTACTTGGGAGCGCGAGAGGTGTTTTGGTCGAGAAAGTGGCGGCCTCTGTCCTCTGCGAGGGTGAATGGCAGCGCGGGAGGCGTCCACTTGGGAGGTCCTCCGGGTACGTAGATGGCCCCGTCGTCTTGCCAGTTGTAACTGCACAGTGTCTCGAAGCCCTGTGCGGACGAGACTTGGGTGCTATCCATTTCTAGTGACGTCGTGTCAATGGTGCGCATGGGCGCCCCGGTGATTTCTTTGAATACCCATGCTATCTTGCTTTTGAGTGCTTTTGAGCTCTTTGCTTGCGGCAGTTGCTTATGAGGAGGCTTTGGTGTGGAGGAGGAGGCTTGTACTGATGCTGACTGCGGTGGTACCGCTCCAGAGTCCACTTTCTTGGTCGATGGTCCGTCCGACGACAATACCGCTACAGGTGCTGTTTTTAGCAGAGGCTCCTTGGTATCCGGGGCAGATTCCGCAATTTCTATTGAAGGGGTATGCGGTTCTTGGACGCCTGAAGCTTTGGCTGCTCGTATTCTTGCACGTGCACTGCCGCCATGATGAGTTTGGAGTCTGCATAAATATTTGCTGCGAACCTACGACTTGCTCGGACGTGGCTTGCTTTTCTTCGGCTGAACACCACTTTCCGGACTTTTCCTCGGAGCAGGCTGACGTGCCGTTCTAGATCGGTTCTTCTGAACTACCTGCTGTGCCCTAAGAGCCTGATTTGCTAGGGCGTATGATGTAGTCGTGGATGCTCCATTCTCTGCCTTTCCTTGTTTGCTATGTCCGTGATAAGCTGTATGTGTACGCAGTTTGAGTGAACCACCTTACTGCTTCGCATGGCGCCGACTGCGTCTATGGGCTGCTTTTTGGGAAGTATTGCTTGTTCCCACATTTGACATGACAGTCCCCGCTGAAGACACGACCCCATTTTCTTGCTTAGGCGCGGCTGCAGGGTGTAGAGTCTCATGTTGCTGCATTCCTGGGACAATTGCTAGCCCATTGAGCTTTCTGGATTGTCTGTCAAGAAATGTGCATGATATCCGGGATTGCAAAGTTCGCTGGGGATGTACGAAGCGGGGTGTTCGCCGCAGGCAAGTCTTGACTTGAGTAGCCACTTGCCGTGGATGTTTGTGCTTTATATTGAATAGTTTGCGAATGCGCATCAGGAAAAAAGTCTCGACGGGTATGGATCGTGGTGAGGCTTGTGCCAGAGGCTGCTGTTGAATGGCGAGGCGCAGGTTTCACGTGCGCAGGCGATGAAAGATTGTCAGGGTTACGCGTCAAGGCACTTTGGAACCATCGTCCAACACCAGGCCCTCCCCCTCTCCCCCACGACATGGTGACGGCTTTTCCAATTCTCTTCTCACGTCGCCCTCATTTTAATCCCTTGTAATGTTTGTTTGACCGCTGTGTCTCCCCTGCTACCAGCCTGCCCCACGATATCGCATGTCTGGCACCACCCCTGCCTGTGGCGTTGAACGCTTCTAAACCCTCATGTCTACCGTCTTTTCTTCCCTTGTGCGGCCGCAAAAGTCCCGCCGGCTTTCAACGCCCTTCCGAGGAGCGCCTGCTTCTCCCCCTTCAATCGACAGCCATGGCCTCGACGAGCCCGATCTCCGCGACCTTAACACATCGCTCCAGGTGCTTACCGACGTCTTCCCAGACATCCAACCCGAGGTCTTTCGTGAGATGCTCTCGACGTTCAGCGAAGAGAGCAGACTGCAGGTCATCACAGAGACATTGCTGAAACATGCCAACAAATATGTGCGCGGACGGTACAGGATGCCAGCGGAGCAAGAGGAGCAGCGAGAGACGGCGCAAAAGTACAAGTATCGCAAGGAGGATGCCCCTAGAGACACACGCGGCGTGCCGCTTGCCCTCGAAGACAAGTTTCGCTCGCGGCGCTACAAGGAGGCGGCAAAGGAAGCGCTATACCAGGAGTTCAAAGGCCTCAGCCATTCCACCATCAAGGCGGTGCTCGCCGAGTACAACTGGAGCTATTCACATGCGCGGCCGACGCTACTGGACCTGTCGACTAGGAGTTGGAGATTAAGCATTACGAATTTCCTCATGCGACGCAAAGCGCCCAACGCAAACGACCACCCCTTGGTGGTATGGACCCCCGCCGACGAGCGGCTGAACCGACCGCCCATGCCCATGCTGGTGAAGACGAGGAGCGACGAGCTGAACCAAGAGCTCTACAACGCCCTGATTGTCCCGGAACACGAGCGGTACCGCGCCGAGCAATTGAAGCGAGATTACGAATTGGCGCTCAAGTGGAACGAAGAGGAGGCTGAACAGGAGGGCGAGATGTACGATTGCGAGTGCTGCTTTATTCCCAACACCCTCGAGCAAATGTCGGCCTGCGATGTCCAGGGCCACTATATTTGCTTCCGCTGCATACGACATGCCATCAACGCTGCGCTCTACGACCAAGGCTGGGCGCGCAACATCAACATCGAGTTCTGCACCTTGAAATGCATCGCGCCCATGACGGGCGGGTCTGACGAGTGCACGGGTTGCATACCGCTCAGCTTTGTGCAGCGCGCGCTTGACTCGGAGCAAGACGACAAAGACAACTTTGCCAAACTCAACGAGCGTCTCGCCAGCGACGCATTGACGCGCTCGCAGCTGCCACTGGTCCAATGCCCGTTTTGCCCTTATGCCGAACTCGACGACCTGGCGCTCCCAAACACCAGTCTCCTGAGTAACCTGCACTTCAAGTCCCAGCCCATTGTCGTCGCCCTGCTCGTCTCGATCCCGCTCCTTGAACTCCTGTGCTTCAAAGCCGCACAAGTCGTTCTCCTCGCCTTGCTGCTGCTATACGGCTGTGTAGCCGTGGCCCTGCGCCTCCCGATCGTCGCGCCCTTCAAAGCCGCCCTGCGCCGCATCCACCTCAAGCGACGGGGTCTCCGCTTCCAGTGCCTATCTCCCAGCTGCCAGCGGGCCTCGTGTCTAGGGTGCTCACTGCCGTGGCACGATCCCCACACGTGTTTTTCCTCGCAACTCACATCGCTGCGGCTCACTCTCGAGCGCGCCACCACCGACGCCGTCAAGCGCACGTGTCCGCAATGCAATCTCGGCTTCGTCAAGTCCGAGGGCTGCAACAAGCTCGTGTGTCTCTGTGGCTACAGCATGTGCTACGTGTGTCGCCAGGGCCTCGCCACAGAAGGCTACCAGCATTTCTGCGGCCACTTCCGCGAGAACCCGGGCCTCCCCTGCGACGAGTGCAACAAGTGCGATCTTTACCGTGTTGAAGATGAAGATCGCGTTGTGAAGCGCGCGAAAGAGAGGGCCGAGGCTGAGTGGTGGGAGGCGCAGGGCGAGGGCGCCAAAGAAGGATTGCAGATGCAAGTTGCGAAAGATAAGGGCATCGAGGGAAGGGGCATATTGGGACTCAAGAGGAGTAGGTGGGAAGCTTGGATTGAGATTTTGCTGGATTCTTTGCTCGTTTGATCAAGGTTTATTATCTCTTTTTTTTTCTTTCTCTCTCTCTCTCTCTCTCTCTCTCTCCGTCTATTTCTCCGTCTCTTTCTTTCTGTCTCGTCATCATTTTCTATTCTCATCCTCATCCTCATCTTCATCCTCATCCTCATCCTCGTCATCTTTCTTTCTTTCTTTCTTTCTTTCTTTCTTCCTCAGTCGTTCCTACTCAGTCATTCAAATGCTTTGCAAAAAAAAAAGGTAAAGAAAGGGGGAACGGTATGGCACGGCGTTTTTTGGTGTTTTCATCTCTCTCCATCTCTCCATCTCTTTAACTCTCTCAGTCTCAAACTCGTCATACGGTTCGGATCCAAAAAAAAAATTTGAAGCGATGACCAACCAACGACATGTGTGATACCCCCCCCCCTCTTCCCCGCTCCCTTTTTCTTCCCACTCCCCTACTACATTTCTCAGATTGTGTAAAATGGTCTCCTTGGTTTTTGGTTTTATTTTTGTGCAGCATTATCGGTTTGTTGTTTACCATGGATATTGGAGGTTATATATATCTAGATCGGGCTCCTCCCAAGAGAGAATTTGCCTGGAGATATTTTTATACAGTGATTTATCTATTCATTCCAAAGTTTGTTCTACCGTGATATATATATATATATGTGTGTGTGTGTGTATTTGGTACCAAAGAAGAATTCCTGTTGAATCCGTGTCGTATGGTGGTAAAGTGCGTTCATGTTCATGTTCATGTTTATGTTGTTTGGAGTGAATGAACTAGTGAATGAATGTATGCATTAATCCTCGTTGCTATTACAAAATGACATGTGGCCGAGAATAGCAGGACATGTATTTTCCATCATGTTTAAACAGGTACATTGCTCATGAAGACGGCGAAACTTTGAGAAAGAGCGAGAACAGATCAAGACATTAAATCAATTGCTCATTGCATATACTTGCTCGTACACAGCCTCTTGATTCCACACATGCCAGAGTCTCACATGTGCACCGACCTATCGTCCGTCTCCCTATCAGCCTCCTCCATAAGGCCTCCAGCCCAGCCACAGAAGTACCTGAAGCTAGCTTCCACCTACCTACCTTACCAGTTACCAGCCACCTAACCAAACTACGAAAAAAAGAACAAGTCAACGCCACCTTTCATTACGCAGATGGACAAGAAAGCGAAGAAAGAAAGAGGAAAAAAAGAGAAACAATAAAAACTCGGGTATGATGCAAACGACAAACACACCCCAAAAACCCGAATCCAGACCAGTTCAATGCGGATGAGTTTACTGCTCCTCTCAATCCAACATGGTCGAGGCCCAAAGCCCCCAAAAAACAAAACAAGAAGGAGAATCGTATCGTTCGAGGGCAAACGAAAAGAAAAAAAAGAAAAGAAGACTAAGGAGGTATTAAGTACAAATTTGCTGACATGATTGAATGGGATGAAGGGGCGTTCAATTCGTGATTCGCCCTACTACTAGTAGTATGTATTCCCCTTCCTCCACCCTTTTCTGGCTAGTTTGGGGGGGGGGATAGATAGCGCAAAAGGGGATAACAGAAGGAAGGAGAAAAGCAATGTGTGGGGCATATCACGCGCTGACGAGAAATAAAAGAGGTACTGGGGGGGTTGGAGCGATGTGCGGGGGTATCTTACGGGGGTCTAGCAACGAGAGAGATGACAATGATGTGGGTGTATGGGTGTGCTTGGTCAAGCAAAGAGCCGGGCTGCGGCATGCTCCGTCCATGACACCAAGACTCGGTGTGGAAATGCTCGCAATATCCAAAGAACCAGGACCCATGGAAACCTCGACCGTTGTGGCTCAGACCACTAGGGGCAAAACTTAGTGGTAGCGAGGCGGAGTGCCTGTGCCGTTGGCCATGGGGGGCGCGTTTGGCTGGAACTCCATCTCGCGCTTCATCATGTCGAGCGTCGAGGGGAAGTAGGGCTCGACGCCATAAGTCTTGAGGTAGCTGGCCGTCTTCTCGATGCGCTTGATCTCGCGCTTGACGTCCCAGCCCTCGCCCTCGCCAAATCGGCGCTGGACCACGTCGACCATGGTCTCGTCGAGCCTGTTGTAAAAGTCACGACGGGCAGCAATGTCCTCGGCGTCGGCGCTGTCGATGCCGCCGTGCGAGTTGAGGTTGCCGCCGAGCTTGAGGATGAGGTCGAAGGCGTAGCGCGGACCCGACGGAAGCAGCGTCAGACGCTGAATGTCGGGCAGGAACTTCAGCATGGCCGAGGCAAAGTGCGACGAGGAGATGGAGTCGTTGAGATCGTCCTGCAGACGGTGCAGGTCAAAGTTGACAATGGTAATCTTGCGATCGAGTTGGGCGTTGAGCGTAGGTGCCGCGTCAGCCGTCGTGGTGTCCATGATCTTTGCAATGGAAGCGGGGACATCTGGAGCGGGTTAGTGCGCGCGCGCCGGCAGCATCAAGAAAAAGACGTCGCATTACCTGGTCGCAATCCGCGCTTGTCGATCCAGTTGTGCACCTCGGCGCGCTGCTGCTCGAGCTGGTCGACCCAGGCCTGCAGGTCGGCGAGCTGGCTCTCGAGCTGCTCAATCTTCTCCGTGTAGGGCTGGACGGCCTGGTTGAAGGCGGCCGTCAGCAGGTCGGGCATGCCGAGCCCCATTGGGGTCTGGCTGGCCGAGGTCGGGGGCACTGCTTGGGTTCGCATGGGCATGGCGTTGTGGGAGGTGGGAGTACTCTGAGCGTACGCGGGCTCCTGGGGTTGCTGTTGGCGGGGGTACATGTCTTGGTCATCAAGCGATAGTGGCTGGCTGTGGTGCGACTCCTTGCGACTCGACTCGGGGCGTTTCTCTGCGTACTCGTCAAACGACTGGGCGCGGGGGTTGGGTTCGTTCTCGACGTAGGAATTGGCCCTTGATCGCCTGGACGGAGAGGGTTAGCTCGGCGGTGACGAGGGTGGTGGAGGGTGGTGGAGGGGAGGAGGCGGGAGAGACCTTTTGAAGAACATTATGGGGCGGGAAAAGAAGAGCTTTGCGGCCGACAATGACAGTAGTCGGGGTTATAAGCTGGAAGGAGGCGGGAAGCGAGCTGACGCCACTAGGGAAAAATAAAGGGAAAGGTTGGGTTATTTGATGGGCTGAGATTCGTAGAAAAAGTGCGAGGTTGAAGCACTATGGCTGGGCGAGGGGGGGCGTGTTGGCGGCGCGGCGGGCGGGCGGGCGGTGGTTGGGACGCGGGCGCCTGTGCTCCCACGAGTGCGAGCATAATCGTCACATCACACCCATGGCGCGCGTCCACAGCCACGCCGACGCCTACATCCAACGCCTCTGCAGTTGACCTTGCCTCCAGAACCTTGCAGCGAATGCGACATGCCGTGTGCACATGCGGATGCATTGGGTTCCAAGCAGCCACTCTTACCAGTCCCACCACCACGGCTGCTACTACAAGTACTGCCACCACCACTACTACAACTTCCTACAAACGCCCGCCCAGCCGCCTGTTCCCAGCCTCGCGCTCACCACCTCCCGTGTATGACATGGCCTGCACGCGCGCATGAGCCGATAGCCGGGGCCTTGATGTCTCGACGTGTCCATGGCTGGCGCCCCCCCGCGCGTGGGACCCGTCCAACTTGGCGCACCGCACACGCCTTGCTGCCATTTGCATGCTCTGGGTGCTCCCTACACGCCCGCGGCACATGCCTTTGTGTCGTGCTCAACAACAACGGCCACGCCACCGTTGCCTGGCAACAAGCCACGCTGCCTCAACAGCCCGCGTGCATAATCCGCCGTTGCCTCGACGGGGGTCAACGGCGTCTTTGGCACCACGTTGGGCTGCGTCGTCCATCCAGCTAGCGCCTGCAGAGCCCCAGCATCATCACCATCACCATCACCATCACCACTGCAACGCCGGGCTAGTCTGCTTTGATTTCCGTTTGCTTCTGCTCACCCAAACACAACCACCAGGTATGCGAACGGTACATGCACAGCAACACCAGTCTTGCATCTCACTTCCCACGGTACCAACTACGCCGTCTTCCCATTGGCCTTGCCCTTCGCCAAGCCACCACCAATCCTCTTCCCCCCAAACTCCACCCCCCGGATCGTCCACTCACTGTAAATCTCCAGCCCAGACACAAACACGCCCAGCAGACTCGCAATGACAAAGTGGCTAATCGTCGTTCCAATGTCCAGCCAGCTGCCCTCGTCTTTGACCATGTAGAAGAAGCTCAGCGTCATGACATCGCTGACTGCCATCACCACCATGAACAGCGCAGAAGGCGCCACTCCCAACCCACGGTTCATCAGCCCAAAGTTGGCCGACAGTACTGCAAACGGCGCCATGAGCTTGAGCATGAGCAGCGCGCCCTGCGAAAAGGGGTCGAAGATGGGAATCAGCCGGTACACTGCTTCCAGCGAAAACGACGACACAGACGCAATGTTGGACGCGCTGAAAAACGCCGACTGGATGAAGAAGATGAAGAAGAGGGCTGTGCGCGCATCCGCCAGCGTCAGAGGCCTGTACTCCCCGTCCTTGGTCGCCTTGGCAGGGTCAGATGCATTGCTGCTACTGCTGCTGCTGCTGCTGCTGTGCAGGTACACTTGCTGCTCGAGCCTCATCCAGCTAAACAGACACATGCAAAAGGCAAAGTAGAACAGCCCCTCGTACGAGATGGAGAGAATGATGAATGTCGGCGCAAACTGGAGGAAGATGACCACGAGCCGGTGCACGTAGTGACTGTTGGGGTACAGCCCATGCAGCTGCGGCACAAACAACGAGGCTGCCAGTGTCGCCCGCCCTATCGTGAGTACACCGTAAGGAATACCTTCACGCGCTTGTAGGTACCCGATGCTGCTCTTGGTTACAATCATCGAAAGCAACACGAGTCCCAGCTGGAGACCGAGAATGATGCGAGATTGGTTGTTGAGCTCGTGAGATGCCACCTCGGCCTCGGACTGGGACTTGGCCACCAGCCTTCTCTCCAGGAGCAAGTAGAGTGCACCAACCGCGAACATGAGTGCTCCTCCGAGCATGCTGTTGCAAGTTAGTCAATCATCAGCAACAGGCTTAGTTGAACATACATCAAGCGTACATCCTCTGCCTTGATTGCAGGCAACAGCGTAAAGGCGCTCATAGCTACACACGACACTACCCAGGCCGCCACGGTTGCAATGTTTTTGCGCATAAACTCTTGCCCGTATACTGCCGGCCAGCATGTCGCCAGCAAATAGCAGACCGTATAGATTTCGCGAATGAAGTAGCTTTGAACCTGTCCAAAGTCAGCACAATCACGTGGTACCATCATCTCTTCCACATACAAGCGCCTCTAGCAGACCGAAAAATCCCAGCGTTGCAAACACCAACTTGGCTACATCGGCGCCAGAGTTGAGATGGCTGAAAAGTACCCTGCCTCCTTTGACAAGCGATGATCTCCGCACATAGATTTCCTCCCAGAACAAGACCGGGAAGAATGCGTATGCATAGTAAACGATAGGCGACTGCTGCTTCAAGAGGACTCCGTAAAGTGCGACAAGTCCCGAAGAGAACACCATCATGCTGGGAATCGTTCGCTGCGCCTGCGTCTCTTCCGTGAGCACATGTAGATCAATCACCGTCGCAATAGCAAAGATGATCCACCCAATGTAGCCAGCCGTCACCAGCGTTCTCAGAAACAGCCAGTCGTACGTCTGCAGGTAACGGAGACCCTCAAGCCCAAGCTCAATGAGCTCGTACGTCTGACGGATAGCCCCCTCAGCATCGCCCTTCGTGATCGCTGCCTGGATCTCCGATACGCGATGTTGAACCGAGTGCGCCTCGTCACCAAGTCCAGGAAAAGGCTTGTAGTGGAGCGCAGTAGACCTCTTTACCTCATCCTTGACATGGTACATTTCCAAGATTTCCTTGGCATTGGTAAGAAGCGCTTCGGCCTTGGACTTCATGTCCGTGTCAAGGTACGACAGAGGCAGCACTCCGACCGAGTTGGTCGGAAAGTCGAGTCCAACAAGGTAGGCCATCAGAGCTGCAACGTCAGCCTGGGCAACATCATGTCGCTCGATTTCGTCCAAATTCCAGTCGGATGAGAACTCGGTATGCCCTTTGGCAATGCCCGATGTGCTCTTCGCCGGTGGTGCGATGCCAGCACCCCATGTAATCAGGGGTGTGCGTGTATTATCCGGGTGTCCATCACCGTGGCTGCCCCAGTCGCTCATGCCATGGTCTGCGGTGAAGATGAAGGCCGTCTTGTCATCTCCGTAGAATTCTTCAATCAGTTCCGTAACCTTCTGTACTCCACGGTCTACAATCTGCAGGTTGTGTAGATACTGCCACGAGTACGGTCTGTGGATATGGCCCGTCGTGTCGAGTCCGAGCAGATGGAGAAAGAAGACATTCTTTTCCCGCCGTAGCTCAGCGTCCAGTGTCGCATTCGACTTTGCTTCGGCAAAGAGCCGCTCAACGCGTTCAAAGACCCATTCGTCCAATGCCCAGGCGTCCTTGGACGAATCCTCTTCCTCGGCAGCGTAACAGTATGCGTCTACTCGTCCCGGTACGGCTCCCGCCTCGAACATGGGAAGAATGTCAGGACTACCCCAGCTCCAAGTGTGCCTGCTTCGGTTGAAGACACTGTCAAAGTTGACTGGGTTGAGCTTCCATCCCGTTGTGACTGCCGAAACATCCTCGTACAAGCCCGCAATAAGCGCCACATGTCCCGGGCGCGATTCCGTCGGGACGCGAGTATGCGAGACACCAAAAGTGCCCTTTTCCAAGACGCGGGAGCGAAGAAACGGGGCGAGAGGGCGGGGCGTGTCTACATCGTCTGCGAGATGGGCCGGAGGATTGGGGTCAGGGTTGGGAAACGATTGAAATGCCTTGTCTGCGCGAAGCCCATCGCCTAATACAGCGTCAGCATGCGGCCAATTGCTGAAGAACAAATTCCTGACCAACAAAGAGCACCAAGCGCTTGGCGGGGGCTTCCTGTGTCTCCACGCGGTGCTCGCGCATTCCATGAACGACGGGGCTCACAAAGTAAATCGAGAAGATGCTGTATATGTATACCAGATGAAATACCACTGCTATGAGCAGAAACCTGTAGCGACCAAACTGCGCCATTGCGAACGAGTGTCGAGGGGAAGGGCGCGCCTCGTGGACACGTTTTGTTGCGACGCGACTGGGTATAATAGGTACTCAGATGGTTTACGCTCCACCGTCGTGTCCCTGCCAAGAGTTTGCGTCGTCATATCACCGACATCCCCATGGCATCCGGCGCCTGGTAGCAGGCTGAATAATCACACAAGTTCAATCATGGCCACTGCCCAGCTTCTGCTAGTCCACCGCAATGGCCGCAGCGTGCGTGTGGGCAACAAAGTGGCAGTGGTGCCGTCGCCGCTGCGCCGCCCAAATAGGAAAGTACCGAGCCCGAGCTCCGCACAAGCTGCCGCCTCTCCGTGTGGGCAGTCTTTGGTTATTATGAATGCATATCATTGCTATCAAGTCCCACCCCTACAAGCACCCAAATGATCTACCAAAACGACCCATTGCTGCTCGTACCATCCGCTACCTGTTGTGTCCGAACCGTCTATTCCTCAACGTTGAAGTTCGCGCCATCCCTCAGGCCTTCAACAACCAGTTCGTGGCCCTCTGCGCGCTGGTAGATGTCCTTGATGTCGTCTAAACTCACGTCAGCACCCTCACCGCCATGCTTGGCTGTCAGGACTTACCGGTTGTTGTCTCGAAATGGCTCGTGGCGTCGTAGCTCTTTGACAAGTAGATGTTGTCGTTGGCGCCGCTCTCAATTGGCTCGTAGAGTGGGATAGCTGGGCCCATGAACTTCTCCTCAATCGCGCCCAGGCGGTCGAGACCAGGCTGGAGCTCGAGGTGGTGGTTGCTGTCGCCTTCGGCAATCGTGGAGACGATGGCAATGTAGTATCCCTTGGGGCAAACGTTGTGTGCAGACGAAACGACGGCAACGTAGATGTCTGTAAAAATCGTAAGCACAGTGTCAAAAACAGTTATTCACCCGTCACGTACCGTGCTTGCGTCCAACTTGAGACTGGGGGATGATCAGTTGCAGAGAGTCGGCATCCGATGTGTTGGGCACAGGGTGGTTGAGAATGCAAATAGCCTTGAGCAGGTGTCCGGTAACGCGGACCTTGTCAGGGAAGTACGACGGGTCAGCGAGAATCTTGCCCGCCTTGGTCTCGAACTTCATGCCGTCGCCGGGAACGTCCTTTTCCTTCATGGTGGCCTTGATGCCAACAACCTTGCCGCCATCGTAAATGAACTCGTCGACGTCGGTGTTGAGCATGTAGGTACCACCATAAATGGCAGAGAGACGAGCAAAGCCCTGGGGAAGCTCTCCGAGTCCGTAGAGGGGGTAGATGTAGGGTGACTTTCCGTATCGTGCCATCGAGTTGACGTATAGCCTGATGCGCTGGATGGCATCTTCTGCCTTACCCGTCTCAGTGATGTAGTCGTCGGTCGGGTACAGAGCCATCGAGTGGCCGACAAAGTCGCGGGTAGTGGCCTCGAGCCCGAACTTGTCGTAGATGTCCTTCATGGTGCTGTTCTTGAGGTCGATGCCTGCATCAGAGCGTCAGCAACTATCCGGTTGTCATAACACGCTGTCCGCAGTGCCGTACCCTTGTGTGTAGCTGGGTCATCCTCCTTGTATGCACCAACCCATTCCAGGAAGTTCCTTGCACGGCGCTTCTCGAACAGACCCATGAGGGGCGATCGAAGAGCCTCACCGGCATCTGACGGCACCTTGGCAACCGTTGCCTTGGCTCCGTTGCCCTGCTGCACATAGCTGCCTGCAATCTGCTTGAAGTCGAGGTATTTGGTAACGTCGGTCGACACGAGGATGTTGGTGAGTTCGCCGTTGGCCATGAGGAGCTTGGGGACGAGGTCGATGTTCCAGTCGTTGACGCGGCCATACTTCTTCCACGGCTCGCCCTCGGTCTGGCCATATCTCTTGAAGAGCTGGCATGCCAGTTAGTGTGGTGCGTGGTAAGCAGCCGCCTCAGATACTTACTGCCTCGATGTTCAGTGATGCGGCCTCCCTACGACACGTCAGTCTCGGTTCTCCCCTCCCCCCAACGATGACCACGGATGCCACTCACCCTCCATAGTGGTCATTGCGATCAATGTGGAGCACCTTCTTGCCCTTGACGCTAAGAACACTGCAAGAATATCAGCACATGTATAGACTTGCTTTTGCTCGAGTCCTTGTGTTACCCTGAAAGCACACATTCGGTGAGACCTGGGCGTAGTTAGCATCCGGGGCGGCCATGTTACGTAGGCGGGGTAACCGAAACCCACCTGTTCCCAGGACCACGACGTCGTACTCGGGCGCGATGTCTTCCATGGCTGTATGATGGGGTTGTGGAAAAAAAGGGGTGTTTGTAGTCTGCAGTGGAAGATGTCCGCTAGAAAGCGCGTGGGTAGGTCGACTTGGGGCGGTGAGATGGATGTGGGGTTGGAGCTCTTTGGGAAGCGCCTCGCCTGTTTATGCTAGCACTACTTTCATAACTTAACGCGTTTGGCGTATGCTGGCCTAGTGCACTTCACTACTTTCACGACATGCTATGATACGTGCAAGATACGTGCAAGATGATACTGAGAATAAGCTGCCTATCTAGACGGTTGCGAGAGCCTCTGCACGCTGTGCATGCCTCGAATAAACATTCCTACAGCCCGTGACAGTGCTGAAAAGGGGTGCAGCTCAGCTGATATTCTAGCCGTTCTGACTGTACTGGCTATACTGCCGATTAATACGCTGCTCTGGCTGCTCTGGCTGGACTGGTTGTTCTGACGTTCTGGCACTTCTGGAATTCTGGAATTCTGGAATTCTGGAATTCTGGAATTCTGGCATTCTGGCGGTTCTGGCGTTCTAACGTTCTAGCGTCCGTCATGTGACACAGTCTGGCACGCTTAGCCCAAGACGGAGATTTCCAACACCTTAGCAAAGGTTTTTACAGCCAATCAAAAGCCGATTTTACGACGGAGTCTTGCGATTTAAGCCCCTATGCAAAACACGTGACTGATTTCAATATGCAGTCAAAGCTGCAATCAGTCGCCCACGTACGCTGCAGAGCGCTTCGTATCGAATCACGCTTCATGTGCGACTTTTGCCAGGACACCCAGACCTTCTCAAACAACAACCTTTTCCTTTGGCTCCGCTATTGTCAAGTCCTTTGCAGGCTCTTGGCTCGTCGGCGCAGCTGCGGTATCGTCCGGTGTGTCATCCGCCTCTAGTGGATCCTGCAGAAGGTGTCAGCTCGTTGCATACAGTCCTGTTGAGATGGTGCAAGCATACATATGGGGGTGTTGTGTACCGCGGGAGGCCCGTTTTTGAGAAGTCAATGTCTGGGTCGTTTTGCGCCAGCACCAATGCCTCTCGATACGCCTGGCGTCTCTCGGCCAGCGAGTCTAGGATTGCCTGCATTGTCTCCTGCACCGTCTTGTCGCGCTCCTGGTTCTCGAAGTCGCCGTAGCCGGCATTGAGGCGCTTGCGCTCAATCTTTTCAGTTGCAAGGCGATTCCGCTCCTTGACGCATATCCACCACAGCTGGTGTAGGGCATCCCAGTCCCGAGTACGCAGCTCGCCAACAGTCCACGCCCTGCCTGTGTCTCTGTCAGCTACCGGCCCATTCGCCATAGCATCAAGCCAGCGGCTGCATACCGTGTCTCTGCTCGTCCAACGGTGTCTGCAGCAGCTGCTGGTTCTTGAAGAAGCCCCATAGCCCGTGGTCGGGCGTGCCCGTGACTTTGTGTTTGACGGGGACCGGCTTGGGCAATTGCTGGGTTTCAAAGTCTTTTTGGCGGACGGACAGCGTCTGCCGTGGTCGCAGCGCCGTAGCCTTCACGGCAGAGACGCCTCTGTTTTTGTTGTTGTCTTTCTTCCACCGCGCTGATGACGTCGAAAAGCATGCGCTCGAGGCATTGCCGGCGCATTGGGCCGAGGGAACGAGGAGGGCGAGGGCGGCGTCGAATTGGGTCGGCGCCAGTTTGGGTCGTCGCAGGAATCGTGATGAGGGCATTGTCGCCATGGCGTAGGCGTAGGCGTAGGCGTGGGCGTAGGCGTGGGCTGTGGGCTGTGCGTACCGATGCAGAAGGGCGCAGCAAAGTTGCGAGCCGGAAAGTGCGACCGGGGTCAGGCAGCTAGCGCGCGCCCTTTACTGACGGCTTGCAACCTGCCCGCCAGGCCCACCCGGTCAGCCCCAGGCTCTCGTTATAAAGCGAAGCCGCCCCCGCCTCGCACCTCCTGCTCCTCAACCCACCTCCCGCGCTCATCACCCCGTGTTGGGCGCCCTCAGATAGTTTCAATTTCATTTGACGAGTTCTTCGATTTCACCAGCGGGTATCAGGACCCGCTCTACAACATCTCGACATGCAGTATACCGCCATCATCATGCTGTTCGGTTTCGACAGATCCTCTTCGTCCTTCTGGCGCATTTCTCAGTTCGGTGTTATCGTCAAGCCACCATGGAACACCCTCTGCTGATTGGCATCTTGCCATTCCCTTTTCTGGCGCCCAAAACAGCCGCCCTCTGCTCGACACGTCTTCCCTCCTGTCCACTCCCTCGTCGGCCGCCTTGACAGGCGACTTCCCACCAGACGCTTCTCTTTACGCTACCCCCAACTGGAACCTCCTCCCTGTCTCTAACTCTCCGTACCTCGGCCATGGTGCGCAATCATATTCTGGCGGTCCCGATTCACTTTGCACTACTGGAAACATGATGAATACTCTTGCAATGCCAGAGAGCCTGGACATGTCCAGCTCGACTAACACGCCAGCGCAGATGACGAGAGGTGAGACAGGCTCTCAAGAAATGCATTTTCAGAATCTAATGTACACAGACGGCTCTCAATCTGGCGCTTCTTCGACAAGCCACAAGAACCGGAGCTCATCGTCTCCAGAACGCACGTCGGGCTCTAAATTGCCGTCTGTCAAAAGCAGCCCTCCTGGTCAAGAGTCGTCCTCGCGTATCGAGAAGCGAAGAGCCAACACGCTTGCTGCCCGCCGCTACCGCCAGAAGCGGGTCGATCAAATGAGTACCCTCGAAGCCGAGCTCAAGGAGATCAAGGCGGAACGGGACGAACTCAAAGTGCGCAACGCTAGACTTGAAGGCGAGGTTGAGACACTCCGTGCTCTTCTTCGTTCGCAGCAGTAACCTTGCATTTGTTTGTCAGCGTTCTGTTAATCTTGTTTGTTTCACAAAAGGCTCAATGCGTGCCCTCTGCTCAGACGATGTCGGAAAATGGATCGCTCGTGGCCCGCCTGTTCGGGGCTATGGCTCGGATCGGCAAAATAAAAGTGTTTAATCTTGGAGGGGTGAAGTGGGCGGGATGGATGTTTGGGACACTCACGGCGTGGCTTCGTATTGTCCGTGTCTGTAGAATGCATGCATTTGAAGTCTCGCTACAGAAGCTATGGATACATTTAATCCCAAGTGTGATGCCTCCCCTTCTCTCGCTCTCTCTCTCTCTCTCTCTATATGTACATTCCTCCCGCTCAAAGTCATGTTTGCTCATTATGAGCAAGAAGACGACGTGGCCGCGAGGGTCATCACGTCCGTCGCTCCATGTCCATCATTTGAAGTCGATATGAGCCAGCATGAGTCGATGTGAGCGAGTGCTGCTTACTGTGAGTTCTTAGCGCAGGTATAGATACATAAGGTCAAGAGCACCCCCGCCTCGGCCCTCAGCACCATGGCCGCCCCCAGTGCGAGTGCGGCTAGATACGACGCTGCTGCTGCTGCTACTGCCACCACCACCTGTACACTACTATACGCAAGGCGCACACAGGCCTACTGTGGGTTGCGGCCTCGCTCTGTCCCAGCCACGGCTGGCTGCCGGATGCGGCCGGCATGGTCTGTCCTTGGCCCCGGCCCCCGCTGTCTAATCAGACGTCGGCACAATGAGTCATTTTTGCTCACTATGTTTTGCACCTCTTGGCCCTTGCGCCCCTGACCACATCCATAATAGCGTCGACACCCAGAGAGAGCCATCTCCATCTTCTCAGCAATGCACTCATTCAGCCTTGTCAGCTGCATACCGAGACGCGGCTGCGCCAGCTACTGTGCTGCTACTTACGTCACGACCGATACCCAGGATGCATCCCCCTCGACCTACGCATACGTACCTCGGCTACTTGCTCGTCCTCCAAACTGCCGCTGAGCCACGACCAACGGTAATTGCACTCGATCGCGGCCTGATCGCAAGCGAGCTCTAGGCCATCGCTCCTGCGCACCTAGTCGGATCCCGTCATGTCAGAATCGGCATCGAGTCACGCACTTTGATGGGGCTAATATAATCAAATATCTGGACACGAGGTTGGCCCGCACGTGGAAGAGGGGGTGGCGCCCTCTTCCCTTCGACCTTCCCTACACCACGGCAAAAGAAAAGAGAAGGATTTTGTAAGCAACATGGTGGTAGTCGGCATAGCGACTCATGACAGACATGCGCAGTGCCAAATGTAACAAGGTCAGTCAAGATGCGCCTCAGGTCATGGTAGTCCAGCAGCATGCAACACGGGTTTCAGCCTCGTGGACCTCAAACACAGGGAACGCAGTGTTCCTCCCCCGGGCCCATTGCATGTTCCGCTGCCGATTCTACTAGTTGATGCAAGCTGCAAGCTTTCTGTTACTCGGTAGTAGCCATGCGACGGCCCGTTTATTCCTCGTAGCGTTAGCAGGCGTTTTGGACATCATCATGCACCTCCTCTTGCTGTACCACCAGCGTCGAGACCACCAGGCCGTCCACATTGTTTTCCTTCAGCCCATGTCCACGCCAATTTCGCCAGGTGCCGGGCCGATCTTATGATTGAACAATGCTATATTCCGGTTTCTAAACCCGGCATTCCACGTTGTTCACGTCCCCCCTCGCGGCATCGCGAACCTATCACGTCTCGGCACGCGGCAGCGCTGTTCTTGGAGTATCGACCCGTGTAGTCGCTTCACTAGTAGGATCGCCACACAGCTGGGATCTTGTTCCTAGTCTGCACTCATAAGGGTCACGAAACGCCTTACGGAACAGCCCCTCCCGTCGGTGCAGAACCCGGGGAACCCTAAATCTTGCAGCTCGCCCTCCTACACAAACGCTGAGACCCGACACATTCATGTTCATTGTTTGCTCTTTTGTTCGTTCTTCGTCCTGCTCCTCAGGCGTACCTCTCTCGATCGCAATCCCCCATTCGGGACTGCCCGCATCGGACTCACACCTCTAGTAACACACCAGCGACGCTAGACGATAATGTATTATCGCCCGGGCTACGTGGTGGTGATGGTTGGCGCGGTTTTGACAACGCTGTCAACCATCATCGTGGGTCTCCGGTAAGTTTAGACGACACACACAGCCTGGGGCCACCATCTGATCCGCCCATACAGATACTACTGCCGGTATTTTCTCATGGGATCTCTCAGCGCGAGTGACCACCTCATGTTCACAGCTCTCGTAAGCTTTGCCGCTCCAATTCTAATGTGTGTGTGTGTGTGCCGGGACTGACGGAATCTAGGTGATGGCTTGGGCCACGTTTGTCGTAAACTATTACCAAGATTTGACAAGTAGCAATACTCGGCCTTCATACCTTAAGGATCCTGTGAGAGAAGCTGTTGGTTTTCTCCAAGACTTGATCTAACGCATGCTTAGGTGAAGCGATTGGAGATTGAGCCTGCCGTGCGAGGCGTGCTCATCACATGGTGGGTCTACCGATGGATATATGTCATATCGCTGGGCTTCGTCAAGCTTAGTATCCTCTTCTTCTATTATTCCATCGCCGCAAACCGTACATTTCGCCATCTGGTATACGTCATGATTGGGTTCGTGTCCATGTACACATTCTCCGCCACGATAGCCGCAATCTTCCAGTGTCAAAAGCCTTCGAGTGCATGGTCGACGACCAATTACTTTGCACAGTTCGACCCCACGATCAAGCGAGAGCCTGCCAAATGCTGGGATCCGGTTCCGTTGTGGGTCTTCTCATCGGCGGCCAACCTGCTGAGCGACATCATCCTCCTCATGCTGCCCCTGCCGACACTCCTCAGTCTTCGTATACCGCTAGGGAAGCGGCTAGCACTCATTGGCATATTCTCGGTCGGTGTCATGGCGATTGCGGCGTCGTCGGTACGCATGTGGGTCATGTACTTGTGGGCTGAATCTCCGTACAACTCTGCGCGATACGGCACCGATTTGCTATTGTGGGGCCAGGTCGAGACGAACAGTGGCATCATATCCGCGTCTGTACCCTTTCTCCGCCTCCTTTTTCGCAACAAGGAGAAGAGAGAGGAGCAACAGCAGCAGGGGGTTACGCCACAGAAGGTGTATGTAACGCCGCCAACAGACCCTCCCAAGGCTCCATCCGTCGAGCCCTACAGCCCGGAAAATCCGCCCGACATCGAGATGTGGCCGCTGCAGGATGAGAAGGCCATGGACATGGAGGATTCGGTCCGCTTCATCACGATCCACGAAAGATCCACGGTAGCGAGAGAATCGAACTGGGGTCCATTTGTCACGATACCAGAAAGTCTTAGCTCGGACGGCAAAGACAGCCCGCAGCTGGGACGCGCACAACACCCTTATCATGGGGTGTGAAGTAGGACAAGGTGTATTTCTAAAACGTAATGTCTATGTCTGATACGAGGTAATGGGGGTTGGGAACATTTGACAGTTGTAACAGGAGCCGGCCTACGGGGCTGACACGCATTTCATGACTCTTCTGTATAAAAAAACACTATGATTACATACATGACTCTGGTCTGGTCAGGCCACTACTGCTCGCTGAGACCTGTTGACGGGTGGATGGATGGACGGGGGGGCATCTACATGCGTACTGTAGAGTACACCTAGTGGTAGTAGCGTGGATGTGCCGGGCCTCGCCGTTGTGACTAGTAGCCGGCACTGGGCCCTGTCCCGGCCTGGCCTGCCGTGTGGGATCCTGGGGGTGGCGATGCGGGCGGGGGATCCAACAGAGCACGTTGCACGATGGCGGCAGGACAGGCACACCACGCCATCAAAAGAAAGCAAATAGCCGCTAAGCCGAATGTCGCTAGATGTCCAGGACGCTCTTGGGGTCGTTGTTCGATTTCTTTTGATAAGGTGGTGGGCATGCATGCCACATGGCGCTTTGCCGCTTGCGGCTAGTGGCTGGGGGCGCGGCGGCACCCACACCCATGGCGGCCGATCTCGTGCTCGCGCGGCTATCTGGAGTGCATTGGAGAGGTCACGTAGCCTATCAACCTGAAAGCTAAAGACAGTCCATCGTTGTCGTGCTCGCAAATACAACCGCCGTGGTTCATCGCAGCACACCGCCAATCGCTGCCGCCCCAGCCCACTCCCCCACAAATGCCGGCTTGCGAGCCACGGCAAGCCCTTGCTCATCCACCGTGGCTTCCTCACGCCTCACCAAGCTCCTGCTCGCCGCCGTCGCCCTCTTTATCGGCAGCACCGCCATCCTGGCTTCGATTCGACTCGGCGGGCGTGTACCCTCGATCCTGCAATACGTCCGGCCCACCCCCTTGCGCAATCCCCTCTACACCCAGCCCTTCCGGCCCCTCACAAACTCCACCATGGCGCCGCCCCAGTACCAGACGCCGCCCCAGCTGCCCCCCAAGTTCACGGCTACCAAGCAGAGCCTGGTCGACGATGCAAAGAGGCTGGTGCGTCCCCGCATTCTCCCCGTGCCCGCAAGCCGTGTTGCGTCCGGCACATGCTGACACGCCCGCAGATTGACAGATCACGAAGCGTCCTGGATGGCATTGTCCGCGACGTCAAGCCCGAGAGCGCCACCTTTGCCAACACGCTGCTCCCCATTGCCCGCGATGACAACAAAATGGCTATTGAATCCCACATCCTCGGCTTCTACAACGCCGTCTCGACGAGCAAGGAGCTGCGCGATGCCTCGAGCGAGGTGGAGCAGATGCTCGACGACTTTGGCATCGAGTCGTCGATGCGCGAGGACGTCTTCAACCTCGTCGATGCCGTGCTGAAGAAGGGGGAGAAGCTCGACCCCGAGTCGCAGCGCCTGCTGGAGAAGGACCACAAGTCCTTCATCCGCAACGGTCTGAACCTGCCCGCGGGGCCCAAGCGGGATAGGTTCAAGGAGATCAAGCAACGGCTGAGTCAAATCAGTATTGCTTTCCAGAAGAACCTCAACGAGGAGAATGGCGGTCTGTGGTTCACGCCCGAAGAGCTCCACGGCGTGCCTGAAGATGTTCTCTCGGGGCTCAAGAAGGGCGAAGGCGAGTTTGAGGGCAAGCTGTTCCTCACCTTCAAGTACCCGGACCTCTTCCCCACGCTCAAATACGCCACCAACCCCGAGACGCGCCTCAAGGTCTTTGTCGCCAACGAGAACAAGTGTAACGACAACGTGGCCCTCTTCCAGGAAGCAATTCTCCTCCGTGACGAAGGAGCCCGCATCCTCGGCTACGACAATCATGCGCAGTTCCGCATAGAAGACAAGATGGCTAAGACAACCAAGACGGTCGATGACTTCCTCGGAGACTTGCGCAACAGACTGGCGCCGGGCGGACAGAAGGAAATCGAGAAGCTCATGGAGCTGAAGAAGCAAGATGTCAAGGAGAATGCACTCACCGGCCCGCTCACCGAAGACTATTATCTTTGGGACAACCGGTACTACGACCGCTTGATGCTGGAAAAGGACTACCAGATCGACCACCAGGTCATTGCCGAGTACTTTCCCCTGTCGACAACAATCCAGGGCATGTTGAAGATCTTCGAGGAGCTCTTCGGCTTGGTCTTTGTCGAGATTGTCGGCGAGGAAGAAAGGGCGGCTCTTGCAGATGGCGGCAAGGGGTCCGACATTGTTTGGCATGAGGACGTGCAGATCTTCAGCGTTTGGGACGACGAAGGCGAAGGTGCAGGCTTTGTCGGCTATCTCTACCTGGATCTTTTCCCACGAGATGGCAAGTACGGACATGCGGCCAACTTCAACCTCCAGCCAGGCTACATTGATGAGAATGGCAAGCGTCGCTACCCCGCTACCGCCCTCGTCTGCAACTTCTCCAAACCCACACAGAAGAAGCCTTCGCTGCTGAAGCATGACGAGGTCGTCACCCTCTTCCATGAGCTCGGACACGGCATTCACGACCTGGTGTCTCGTACAACTTACTCTCATTTCCACGGTACAAACACTGTCCGTGACTTTGTTGAGGCCCCATCTCAGATGTTGGAGAACTGGTGCTGGACCCCTTCGCAGCTGCGCTCCCTGTCGCACCACTACTCCTACCTCTCTTCCGACTACGAGAAGGCGTATCTCGAGTCCTCAGGCAAGAGCTCGAAGCCGGCCGAGCAGATTCCCCAGTCGCTTATTGCCAAGCTGATCTCTACCAAGCACGTCAATGATGCCCTTTTCAACTTGAGGCAGCTGCACTTTGGTACCTTTGACATGGCCGTTCATGAGCCTGCTAGCCACGAAGAGCTGAAGAAGATGGACATTACAGAAAAGTACAACTCTCTGAGACGCGAGATCAGTCTGTTGAAGGGCCCTGAGGCACTCGAGGGTGACAAAAAGGGTGACTGGCACTGGGGTAACGGACAGGCTACCTTTGGCCACTTGATTGGTGGCTACGATGCTGGGTAAGTTTCGGTAAATCGCGTTACAGGATGACACATGCTGACCATGGCAGTTACTACGGCTACCTCTCGTCTCAAGTCTACTCAACCGACATGTTCTACACTGTCTTCAAGTCAGACCCCATGAACCCCAAGGAAGGCCGTCGCTACCGCCGCACTGTACTTGAACGCGGAGGCTCCGTGGAGGAAATGGTCATTCTAGAAGAATTCCTCGGCCGCAAACCTCAAACAGAGGCTTTTTACCAGGAGCTAGGTATCGCACAGTAGTCGACAGCCACCACGTGTGTAGCATGATAGGAATAAAATTAAAAAAAAAAGATCAATATAGTTTCCCCCTTTTTTGTGGGGTTGTCAGGCTGGTAAACAGTGAGGGGGGGACCCCATTGAAACCTCTATGCATTATGTGTCGTGTGGAGAGCATGGGTGTGTCCTGGTCCCACTCAAGCAACTGTGAAGCATTGTGGCGCTTTTGGACGTAAATGCAGTGGATCTATGTCTTTTTACACGTCAAAAAATTTGTAAAAGGGGGGGGGGGAGGGAGACCCCTGTGTCCTTGTCTTGGATGTCTCTAGGGACGTGGGATTTGACATGTTGGCATTTCTGAGGCATCATTTCAGGAATGATAAGGAAACTCTGTGGCAATTTTATTGGTAAGTAAGCGTTTTTGGACTAGAATTTTTCTTCTTTTATCCTTTTTTT